TGGAACAGGTGGTAGAATTAATGGGCTCTACCTTTCACCAAGATTGCCATTCTGTCAATTACTTGTCTGATCCAATTCAACTATTCTCCCCATCTAGCCAGAGCTATAGCACAGGGCAGGGGACTGGACAGTGGTCCCCAAACCTGGCCGTATGTCAAAATCAAGAACAGGGAGTGTTAACAACAAAAGGATCCTGGGATTCACTCTTCTATTGCTAGCTTTTGTGAAGTATACCACAAACACTCTCAGTCCCATCACTGTTTCTCCAGGGTCCTCCAGCTTATTTGATTTCAAGTATCTCATCTATTATTTTTCTCACTGTTAAAATAGATTCTTCAAAAAATTTGGCAATGAAAAAACTTAAAGTCAGCATAGTGCTATATACAGAATCTTTATTCAATAAATAAACAAGTAAAAATTTCAAATGATCCAACCCTAAGATAATATTGTCTAGACACAGGGTGACTGACAGGTGAGAATACTGAAGAACTCACCAAGTTTTGGACCTCAGAGTTCAGAATTTTTATGAGAATCAGACTTTTACATCTTTTGGTTACGTGAAACCCTTTGCTGGTGGATAATCAAATGTGAGAGGTTTTGTACACATCTATTTAGACAAAATTTGTGAGTGTTGAAGATAAAAAAGGGGAAGAACAGACTGTATGATTTATAAGCACAAAGAGAAAAACATGTGAACTCATACCTGATCACAGGAGCCTACTGAGCACATATTGTGAGTGTTCTTAGAAGTTCTTGGTTGGAGCTCTAATGGAGCTTCTTAAGCTCCCTCTGCAGTGCTCCCAGCCAACCTCAGACTGTGGTATATGGCAGGAGAACTGGCTCTACAGTCAGACTGTCTGGGCTTGAATCACAATCACAACCCTCACAAGCTGCCTCACCTTGTACAATTTACTTAACCCTGGAAAGCCTCAGTTTTCATGCCTACAAAATGGGAATCTATGATTGTCCCACTTACATCTCCACAGGGCATTATAGAATTAAAAGGGTAACACACATGTAAAGCACATGGCACCAGCATATGGTAAGTATGAAGTAATTATAGGTATATATGTTCAAGAGGGCACACCTTAAGGGATTCAAACATTAGAATGAAACTAATGGGCATCTGTTTGGGATGGCTGTGCAAACAGCTTCTGGGGGTATGTGCATCAAGTTCTGCCATTATGTAGCCTATTAGATCCATGATTCTGCTCTGTAATAGACTTGGCCTTCTCCCTTCCCTTCCAGTGCTCTAACACTCAATGTTTATTCTTAGTATTTGATCTCCAGTCACCATTAGAGTAAAAGCAAGCAAATCAAATGTCCCCAATGCTCAGAGATTTCTCTATTCTATCCCTCCTCCTAAGTTCACTGCCCAGGTCAACAGGTTAGGGCCATGGTACTGTTGATTCTTATGTGAAACTGTCTCACGAACCTTGAATAGTCTCCTTAAGACTCTATATCAAGCTTCCTATGAATGGCTCAGCAAAGACATTGAGAAACTCAATGAATACAACAAAAGGCCAAGTTCAACCACTTTGACTTAAAAATGATACAGACATCATAACAAGCTGAGTTCCCATAAGTGCCCAGGCTTCATAACCCACCCTCTACACTGTCCTTCAGCGTCACCTGAGTGAGCAGTACACTGCAGAGGGCATATATGGCCAATTCCACACAGGTGGTACTTACAGATGTGCTGGCTGTAACCTGTGAGCTAGAGCTCGTAGGTGTGGAGGTGTCTGAAGAGGTGGAAAGCTGTCGCACCAAGGGACTATGTGGTGGATGGTGAGAGGCTGCCAAATAGCTGGAACTATTCATGTCTGTGTGGTGCTTCAACACTGCAGAAGTCAACAGAAAAGAAAATACATGACTATCTTAACCAGATCTGCTTCTAACACAAGCTAGGAATGCCAGCAATATTCACTAAAGGCAAAAAATGCTTTCTAAGCCTGGAGAATTAAAAAGGTGAAGCAAACTGGTTGATGGGAGGTGGGGTCTTGGCAGAGGTTGCTGCGGCGGTAAGAAGTGACCTGCGTTTGAAAGCAGTAGCATCCCCCTACTTTGCCTTCCTAGAAGATGAAGGACAAAGCTGGGGGCAATGAAGAGAAGCCTAGGCTGCTCCAGAAAGCCCTGCGCAAATGCAAATGCAGGCAGAGATGCCGGGCCTGGCCCTACCTTCACTTCTCTCAGATGAATGGTCTCGCAATCTCATTTTGCTGTGGTTTGGGTCATGCACGGGTGGCGGTGGGTTGAGCAAGCGCTCTGCTTTTGGCGCTGTCACTCGATCCACCATGGGCACGGCCCCCACATCGTCTAAGTGCTGCCTGTGGGTCCTGTCAGGCCGGCTTTGGTGATGGGACAGCTCTGAGGAGGGGAACAGAAAAAGAGCTGTGAAATATCTTCTCTTAAATCTTTTATTTGAGTTCCAAGCTCTTGAGTTCCCTGTAGGCCAATGCTATACACCCAGTGCAGCATTACAGTCCTTTAGGACTGAAGCTTCTAGTAAACAGCACAACTAGAACAGGCAAAGGGAGTCCACAACCAGAGAAATGTGACACCAAGTTACAGAAGACAGTCTGTCCATAGATGGACCCAGTGCCATGCCATTTTTGGCTCTTCATTGAGCATTTTATTTTGGGTCTGGTCCCAAGATCCATGGTGTCTGGAATAGCTTTTAATGTCTATCTGAGAGCATCCAAGATAGGCAGTAGTAGTAGACTGAGCTGAATTTATACTAGTCAATTGCTTTTCCCAACCCCAATATCCCTGGCATGGTAAGATGGTAACTTCAGAATATTAAAGGGATGAAAAATAACCAGGACTCCAGAGAACTCCCTGAGTCCGTGAAACTTACTGGCTGTTGTTAGGAAGGAGCTGACCAACTTGTGCCTGTCCTTACGAATTGGATCTGGCAGACTGCCTGGCATGGGCGCTCTGTGCTTAAGTGAAAACTTTTTGGGAGGCTTGATTTTGTCGAAAGGCTTGTTCTGCCACTGAGATTTCAACATGCTCTGGAAGTGTAGGCTTGTGGGAACATCTGCAAGAAATAAACAATTCAGGTTAGCCCTAACACCTGGCCTCTAGACTCCCTCTCCTAAAGTGACATGTGTCCATCAAGCACTCTTGACTCTCCTGGTTGAGATCTACACAACACTCTCTTTTATGTGCCCAGTGGCCTGATAAATTGGCAGGGCAAGTGCTACCATATGGAAGATCCGTCCATGTAAAAACTTACTGAATAGGGTGCCAGCAGATGCTGTGATGGTTAAGTCACTGGACTCCCACATGGTTGACCACAGTTTGAGTCTTGAACCTGGTAGACTGAAACGCACATGGAGCTTGTGTACATGCGTGCCCAAGATCCCAGGAGGAGAATGAGGAATTGTGGTATGCCCACCCCACCCCTCGGGGGGATGATTTCTCATTTTCCCCCTCATGGTTTCTGTCTCTTTTTTCTCTCTCCTCTGTGAGTGCACATGTCCTATGGCAAAAACCTCTTAAAAACAAACAAACATGGGACCAGCAGTTAGCATAATGGCTATGTCGCTGGACTCCCACATAGTCAACTGCAGTTCGTGTCCCGGACCCGGCGGCCTAAACCTCACACCGGGCACGTGTGCATGCGTGCCCAAGATCCTGAGAGGAGAATGGAGGAGAAGGGATTGCGGCGTGGCCATCCCCCTGGGGGGTGATTCCTCGCTTTCTATCTCTCTGTCTCTGTCTGGCGAGCACATGCGCCCTATAGCAAAAACTGCTCCAAAACAAACAAACAAACAAAACAAACAAAAACCTATGTTACTGAGTCATTCTTTTATTCACAAACAAGTCACTTTTGCCTTTAATTTCGAAGTTCTAAGAAGAAACACCTAAAATGCTTTGCTAGATTGATAGTTTTTTTGTTCCATATATGTATGAGGGGCTTGGAAAAAATGGAATTAAAAGATAAAAATAAGGCAGGCTCTGTGGCCTGGTGGTTGAGGCAACTGGATCTCACATGGCTAACCTAACGGTCTGAGTAGTCGACTTGGCTTGGGACACACCAGACGGGTGTTTGTGAATACCCAAAATCCCAAAAGGAGAGAAAGATGGAGCTGAAGAGATTACAGTGTGACCATTCTCCATAGGGTGTGCTTTCTCCTCTCTCTCTGGTGAGTGCACACACGCACTATCATGAAAAAAAGATAATAAAAAATAAAAATCACAACTTTACTTCTCAATATAAGCTCCATCGAATTCATGGAACTTGCTTTGACTGGACCACTTTCACCTCTTGATTGCCAATGCTTTCATTTTGCACTTTGTCTTCAAAATCTTCCTGGTAAAGCCATGTGACATCTACTGTACAGTAAGAAATACAGCAGGCTCTTAATCCCACTTGTTTTAAAATTTCTATCGTAGGGATCAGTAGTTGGCATAATGGCTATGTTGGTGGACTCCCATGTAGTCAATTGCGGTTCGAGTCCTGGACTCAGTGGCTTAAACTCACGCCAGGTCTGTGTGCATGCGTGCCCAAGATCCCAAGAAGAGAATGGAGGAGAAGGGATTGTGGCGTGGCCATCCCCCGTGAGGGGGTGATTTCTCACTTTCTTTGTCTTTCTGGCGAGCTCACACACCCTATAGTAAAAACTTCTCCAAGGGACCAGCAGTTAGCGTAATGGCTACATTGCTGGACTCTCATGTAGTCGGCCGTGGTTTGAGACCCGGACCTGGTGGCTTAAACTCACGCCAGGTGCATGTGCATGTGTGCCTAAGATCCTAAGAGCAGAACAGAGGAGAAGGGATTGGGGCATGGCCAAACCCCCTGGGGGTGATTTTTCACTTTCTGTCCCTCTGTCTCTCTTTCTGGCAAGCACACGCGCCTTATAGCAAAAACCTCTCTAAAACAAAACAAAACAAAACAAACAAAAAACAGAAACAAACAAGAAAATTTTTTTCCCTTGGAAATTTACATGGGTCATCTACTGCTGTGGTTATCTTCTTCAATATCATCTCATCAGTGTTTGTTTTTTTGATAGTTTAAAAGATTTTTACATGCATGTATTTAATGGAAAAAATTAAAAAGTTAGGGAAACGGTAAAATTTTATCTTTTAGATCATGTAATTCTTCTTCAACATCTGTATATATCCTTTTTTTTTTTTGAGAGGTTTTTGCTATAGGGCACATGCGCTCGCCAGAGAGACAGAAAGCGAGAAATCACCCCCTGGGGGGATGGCCACGCCATCTCCTCCATTCTCTTGGGATCTTGGGCACGTACACACATGCGCCTGGCATGAGTTTAAGCCACCAGGTACGGGACTTGAACCGTGGTGGAATATATGAGAGATCAGTGACACAACTGTTACGCTAACTGCTGGTTCCATCTGTATATATTCTTGTGATGCTCTCAAATGTAGATCTTGAGTTCAGTTTGACTCATTAGTAGATCTTTAAGCAAAGCTATACAGGATACAGATGCAAGTTCAGTAGTAGATTCTCCTATTTCTCTAGTTATACTTCTTTCCAATCTCCACCATGTCTGGAACATATAATTATCCATGATGTGATTTCTTTTTTCTTGCCAAGGAGCACATACCCTTGCCATAGAGAGCAAGGATCTCCCAATGAAGTGTAAGTGTGGTCATGCCACAATCCTTTTCCCTCCATTCAATCAGGATTCAGGGCATCCACCCACATGTGGGCCTGGTCTTTTTTTTTCAAGTTGCCAGGACTGGGATATTTAACCAGACTTGTGGGATCCATCTCTCCAAGTACTGTGTGTAGCTACTGTTCTATGGGACTGGCCCAGGAATTTCTAGATTTTTAAAAAAGAATTATTTTATTCAACTTCATTCATTCATGTATTTATTTCAATTTGACCAGAGAGGGACAGAATGTGTAAGAGAGAGAGAGAGAGAGAGAGAGAGAGAGAGAGAGAGAGAGAGTGTGTGTGTGTGTGTGTGTGTGTGTGTGTGCATAAAAGCTGCCAGGTCCAGTACTCAAACTGTAGTAAGCTATGTGAGAGTCCAGCGCCCTTAACCACCAGGCCACCTGCTGGCTCCAGGAATTTCTAGATTTTAAAACTATTTTTCTCATGGCCATCAGGTGGTGTAGTGGTTAAGGAACTGGACTCCCATACGGCTGTGATTTGAACTCTGGATCCAGCAGCTTGAAACTTATGTTGGGCACATGTGTGTGCGTGCCCCAAATCCTTAGAGGAGTACAAAGAAAAGGGATTGAGGTGTAGCCATCTCCCCTGGAGGGTGACTTCTCACTTTCTGAATCTTTTAGGCAAGCACACATGCCCTATAGCAAAAATCTCTCTCTCTCAATAAATAATCAATAGATAGAAAGAAACCATTTTTCTCTCAGATTTTTACAGTTATTCTAATATTATATTCTAATAACCAGTGATGTATATAAAAGAGAATCTGCTTCTTAATTTACTCATAGGTGGGTTTGGGTTTTTGGTAAACTTTTGTAAAAACAAAACAAAACAAAACAAAACAAAACAAAACATGGGGATCAGCAGTTAGCGTAATGGCTATATCTCTCGAACTCCACATAGTCGACCATGGTTCGCGTCTCAGACCTGGTGGCTTAAAACTCACGCTGGGCACGTGTGTGAGCCTCCCCAAGATCCCGAGAGAAGAATGGAGGAAAAGGAATTGTGGTGTGACCATCCCCCCTGGGGGGTGATTTCTCACTTTCTGTCTCTCTGTCTCTGTTGGTCTGGCGAGCACACACGCCCTATAGCAAAAAACCTTTCTCAAAACACCAAAACTAAACAAAGCTTTAACACTGACTCTGTAGATCAATTCGGAGAGAACTGCCATCTATTTTGCAATCAATACTAGTCTTTTTTTTTTTGGAGAGGTTTTTGCTATAGGGCACATGTGCTTGCCAGACAGACAGAGAGAGACAGAGAGATAGAAAGTGATAAATCCACCCCTCCCCCCCAAGAGGGGACGGTTACACCACAATCCCTTCTCCTCCATTCTCCTCTCAGGATCTTGGGCGGGCACGCACGCACGCCCGGCGTGAGTTTAAGCCACCAGGTCCAGGACTTGAACTGCGGTTGACTACATGGGAGTCCAGCGACATAGCCATTACGCTAACTGCTGGTCCTGAATACCAGTCTTTCAATCCATGAATATGGTATCTCTCTCCATTTACTTAAGCTTTGCCCTAATATTCTCTTCATCATTGCTTTAGGAGCTTTCACTGTGCAGGTCTTACAGACATTTTGTTGAGTTTATTTCTAACTTTCATTTTAGTGATGCTATTACAAAAGTACTTTAAAAATTTTCCTTTTTTTTTTGAGAAGCTTTTGCTATAGGGTATGTGTACTCGCCAGAAAGCAAGAAATCACTACCCGGGGGGATGGCCACGCCACAACCCCTTCTCCTCTATTGTTCTCTTGGGATCTTGGGCACGAATGCACACGCGCCTGGCCTGAATTTAATCCACTGGGTCCAGGACCTGAACCACGGTCAACTACATGGGAATCCAGCAACATAGCCATTATGCCATCTGCTGGTCGCTACAGATGGTTTTTACTTCTTTCCAAACTGTAAGTCTTTCATTTTTATTCCTTGCTCTATTGCTTTTGCTAGGACTTCTAGCGATGATTTATAACTTTTCCATTTTTCTTTCTATGTTTTTAATGTTGACATTGTACCGTCATATATATGAGTCTTTTCCCAGTGTTCTGCAAAGTATTCTAGAGTCATTTAAATCTAAAGGGAACCACATTTTTCTTTAGTTCCCAATTATTCCTGGAAATCAGTAGCCCCCTTGCGGCAGAGCCCCAGAATCCATACCTGCTGCTTCAGCACAGAATAAAACACCACTATTTGGTGAAAAAAGACATTGGGGGACCAGCAGTAAGAGTAATGGTTATGTCGCTGGACTCTCATGTAGTCAACCACGGTTTGAGTCCTGGACCCAGTGGCTTAAAACTCACGCCGGGCACGTGTGTGCGTGTGCTCAAGATCCCAAGGGGAGAATGGAGGAGAAGGGACTGGGGTGTGGCCAATCTCCTGGGGGATGATTTCTCT